TAGAGAGAAATGTGCTGGCCAGTGTCAGGTCATGGGTCTTGCAACAGGACAATGACCCAAAAACACAGAAACACCCAAGAATGGCTGAGAGGAAAACACTGGACTATTCTAAAGTGGCCTTCTGTGAGCCCTGACCTCAATCCTGTTGAGCATCTTTGGATGAAACATGCCGTGTGGAAAAGGCGCCCTTCAAACTGGAAACGACTGGAGCAGTTTGATCAGGAGAAGTGGGGCAAAATACCTACTGAGAGGTGCAGAAGTCTCACTGACAGTTACAGGAATCGCTTGACTGCAGTGTTTGCCTCAAAAGGTTGTGCAACAAATTATTAAGTTGTGGGTACCATCGTTTTTGTCCAGGTCTGTTTCATGCATTTATTTTTTTTAAATAATTCTGTTCAAGCATGGTTAAAAAGCAATGTGTGACTTTCAATGGTTAACATTCATAGAATTTGTATTTACTTATACTTTTGTTTTACAGTTATTTCTGTGACCGTTGTGAGTTTTTCGCTCATTGACTGAAGGGTACCAAGAATTTTGTCCACGTCTGTAAATCATATATAAATCACGGTTTATGCAAAATCATTTAGTACAAGCAAATTGTTAGTACAATCACTTCCTTTATTTCTACCGTGTGTGGACTCAGTGGAGACCTTCAAAAAGCAGCTAAAGACGTGTTTATTTCAAAAAGCTTTTAATTGGAACAGGTTTTTATGATATATGTGTTTTTACCTTGTAAAGCACTTTGTGACACGTGTCTGTGAAAGGTAATATATAAATAAACTTTACTTCCTTACTATTTATTGTAATCATTTGGCAGCTTTAACTTTGCACTAAAACTTGTTTTCACAAAATCGCACTGGTTTTAAAAAAGTAACGACACACCCTCCAGCGTGCCTTCTCACCTTGCTGGATTGCTGTTCTTCTTTCTCTTGTAGCTGCAGCTGAAAAATGAAGGTCTGCTCCTCCAGGGCACTAAGCATACAAGGTAAATGTGATGATTTGTTGTCTATCCGACAGAATGAAGCCATGGTGATCTCCGCTGACTGGTGGCTTTAATAGAAAGTATAAAGCGTTATGCTCATTAGGAGGCTAAAGAACACAGAAAACAACTTGCCAATTACTTCCCTGCTTGCAAAGCATTTGCACACCGAGTGCATATGTACTTACCAGACATTGTCGACTACGAGCACTGAGCCATCAGGCATCATGGGAAGGTAAGACGAGTTATAGTTTGGAAGAATCTTCACATCTTTGACACACATTCTGTCCTGTGAGCTGCAGTTCATCACTGAGGAAAAAGTAACCCACTAATCATTAGCTGTTTATGAGCTTATTGTACTTCTAGGTACAATTGCATCATTTTGGTGTTTTGCTAACTTGACGCAGTTTTCTGGACCATTCAAATTCCCAATTTTTGCTAAGTTTAACAGAATAGTATTGTATATTGTGTATATTCATTTTGTTTAAAGTTTAAAATGCAGTAAAAATCAGATGAAGGTAGCGTGACAGACGTTTACTTTGATTACACAAAAATGAGGCAGGACTGATGGGTAATTCTAAGGAGCTCGGAAAGCAACCAGCTGGGCTTATTCAAGTTTCTTGAAGACGTTTCACCTCATACTTAAGCTCTCAAATCAAATAGTGGCGAGTCACAAGTAATTACACCCTATTTAAACCCCAGTGGGCTGCCCCCTACTGTTGCATTTAAACCGTATTTAAACCCGTTTGGGTTTATGTTAGGACTACTCCTGGCAACAAATTTCTTACTTGACTAACTATGCAGGGAAAAAATGAGACACTTGTTTAAAACTAAGAAACACTCAAATATTAAGTTTCATGTATGATGAAAAAATGTCGATTCAATAATAACAAAAGGGATTTGAAACCACGTATCACACTGTTTAGTAATGAATCATGGCGCTTAACTGTGTGGCGTCTGACATGGTTAATGATCAACATTACACGAGGCTGCTTTAGTTTAAGGGTCGTGATATAGCGGCTGCTGTTTCACTTAATACTGAGACAGGTAGCTGTCGTTTAGGAGATCCAGATTTGGGAAAATACAATTAAAAAAATAATAAAAGTCCACGTTTTGTGTCTGTGTGTGCATGAGCTGCTGTTCTACCCTTGAGGACGGTCAGATGTTTTCCAGAAACAGTCATCTGTCGACACTGGACGCTGGGAGGTGGAAGAACATCCAGAGTAGTGCTGACTAGGAAAGAGGAAACCATGGTGTTTGTTTACTATCAGACTGGACAATGGAATTATAATTTATATGTAATGCAATGGGACAGATACTGGTTTCCTAGTCTTATAACCTCATTAGTTGTAGGTTTTAGACTACAATCCTTTTTAACTCTCGTGACACACAGAGCTCATTCAGTATGTTGAGATGGCGTGTTTACCTTGTGCCTTGAAGGTGCTAAGATCTTGTCTGAAGGTGCATGTTGGACTCCTAAACTGCAGCAGAGTCAGGTAGCCAAGCTCCCTTAATTCTGCATTTTCCTCCATCTGCTTCCACACAGTGACTACAATCTGTCATCACAGAGAGGCATTCAACTACAGGTTCCACCTCTAGAGTTCATCATACAGGGTACTATGCAAAAGTCTTAAGCCACCTTTAATTTCTTACACTTTGTTAGGAAAATTGGAAATAATAATAATGGATTGCATTTATATAGTGCTTTTCGGGGCCCCAAAGCGCTTTACAATTCCACTATTCATTCACTCACTGGTGGAGGCTACAGTTGTAGGCACAGCTGCCCTGGGGCAGACTGACAGAAGCGAGGCTGCCATATCGTGCCATCGGCCCCTCTGGGCATCACCAGTAGGCAGTAGGTGAAGTGTCTTGTCCAAGGACACAACGACCGAGACTGTCCGAGCCGGGGCTCGAACCGGCAACCTTCCGGTTACAAGAGGAACTGCCAACTCTTTGAGCCACGATCGCCCTTATACATAAATACATAAAGTTTTACTGAAACTCAAGTTGTCTGCAGCTTTTCCTGACTGCCAGTGCCAGCCTTGTCCCTGAGATCCGGCAGCTTATGCGCCACAGCAGACGCAGCTGCAGCAGGAGGCAGAGGGCCAGCAGCTGCTGGAGCGTCGTCATCCTCGGCTCCTAACATGTCAGGGGTCACCAATGTGGAGGTAAACACAGACGAGACGAGAGCTCTCACACGCCAGCGTTTCTCACTCTAACGTTATTCTTGAACAAACAACAACCGCAAACATCGTACCACAAAACTCAGCAACACACTTCCTGCGTGTGAGTGGAGTCCACCACAGTGGAAATAAGGCAAAAACAAGAGTTTGTAGATAAGATAAGCTTTCTTGTCATTTCTGTCTTCACAAAGATTTTTCCGGGCTTCTTGAAGGGCTTTCCAGAGGTCTAATAGGGTTGTTGGCTGCTGCTGTTCTCTGTAAAGATGATGTGGGCTCCGAGGAGGCCGATCCATGATGTACTCCATTGTGTGTTTTTCTCTTCAGGTATGCTTTTACTCCCCTTTTTACTTTAGTTTGGTTTTAAAAATTTTGTCATCTAGTTTTTGTTTTTAGTTTAGTTTTGGTTGATTGTAATAACATTGCTACTCAGTAGTGTGCGAGCCTGACAATATCAGGCAGAACTGATCCAGGGTATCACTGAGCTGGATCGTCTCAGGTGCATAGTCTCAGATTGACCGAAACAATGTCTAGATTGAGGTCAGGCATGTGTGGGGGCTGGTCAATAGTATCAGTTCCTTCATCATACTCTTGTCACATGAGACCATGTGACCATTCTGGTGCAACACAAGAAACCCAGGACCTGCTACACCAGTGTATCATCTGACAGTGGCTCCAAAGATTTCACTCTGACACCTAACGGCCATCAAGCTGCCGTTGCCTAGCTTGCAGAGGGATGTGCATCCCTCCATGGATGAGGTTGCTCATTCCCTAACCTAAAAACAAACCAGTCATGCTGAGCATTATTACAGGCAGCATAACATCCCCCATGGCTTCTCCATAACTTTCACATTTGCCACATCCACTCAGGGTGAACCTGTTAAGAGGTAAATGAATTGGTTTTTATCAGCACCTCCAAGTCTGAGGCCATGTACCTCAGCTGGCAAAGGGCGGAGAGCCCACGCCGGGTCAGCGACAAGTTCCTGGTTGAGGTTGTTCAGGATTTGGGTGCCTCCTGGGTGAGGTGTTCCAGGCATGTCCTACCAGGTGGAGGCCTCGGGGCAGACACAGGACATGTTGGAGAGATTATATGTCTCTACAGGTCTGTGAACGCTTTAGTGTTCCACGGGATAGGCTAGAGGAGGAGGCAGGAGGTCTGGGCTTCTCTGCTTAGGCTGTTGCCCCCGTGACCCGGTCACAGATTTGTGGAAGAAAATGAAAGGATGGATGGATGGAGTGGTCTTGTTATTGGAACTCTAGTAGGCCTGTAGTTAATGTAATTAACACCTAAGCAACTGAAACCGATTAAAAATCCCCTCTGCAACTTAACTGACCAGATTAATATACCAAGGGTTGAATTTATTTAATGCTTTACTTTGATTAAAAAGTGTTCCTGTAATTAGTTTGAGTGTATAAAGAAATCGGGGATGAGTCAAGACTTTTGAACAGTTTTGTACCATTTAGGAATAATAAGCACAGTACAAACAAACACTAACAAATATAAACACTATAACCTATACAATACATGTTTACGTTTTTTTACA